TCAATACCCCTAGGCTCAGCACCTCCAGACTCCGCACCCCCAGGCTCCGCACCTCCAGGCTCCACACCTCCAGGCTCCGCACCCCCAGGCTCAGCACCCCCAAGCTCAGCATCCCCAGAAGCAGCACCCCGAGAAGAAACACCCTCAGCAGGACCTGAGTCACCAGTGACCTCAACCGGCGCAGTCAAGGGAGGAGGGTCTACCTGAGACAAACCTAAAGGAGCAGGACCGGGAGCGGAGAGGGGGTCTACCCGGCGAAGAGCACCTGGAGCGAGGAAGAGCGGCGGGGGGGGGAGAGGGGCAATGCGGTAGGGGAAGAGACGGTAAAATGGAACCGACTCGTCGAACGTGACGTCCTGAGAGGGGAAGACACGGCGCGAGGTGGGGTGGTAAAACTGCCAACCAGGCGCGTCAGGGACAAAGCCAAGGAAGACACTGGGAACAGCGCGGGAGGAGATTTTGTCCACGGTGGTATCGCGGACAAAGGCATGAGCACCCCAGACCCAGAAACGCGACGCATCGCCAACCTTCCCCGTCCACAGCAGTGTGGGCGAGGTCTCCGGCAAGGAGACACGGGGCCAGAGGTTGAGCTGATGTGCGGCGTACCGGATCGCAAACGGCCACAGAAAATGGGGGGCAGCCGCATGGATCATGGAGTTACGAGCGACCTCCATGACTAAGCCAATGCGGCGCTCAGCAACCCCATTCTGCTGCAGAGAGGCCGGAAGCGTGAACGTCTAGCAAATGTCGTGCTACGCACAGAAGGCTGCCAAGAGGTCGGAGGAAAACTCTCCACCTCTGTTGGAGTGCAGACGCAGGACGGGAAACTCCGTCCCGAACCGCTCGCGGAGGTGGAGACGAGCAGCGCGGATCCAAGGGATCAAAAACATCAGGGACCTCACCCTTGGTGCGCAAGGGGAGGACCGTGGTGTAACGCGTGTAGTCGTCGACGACCAGCAGGAAGTACCACTCGTGGCCCTGTCCACGGACGCGGGCTGGGCCCCACACGTCCAGGTGGAGAGTCTGCAGGGGAGCCTCTGTGGGAGGGAACAAGGAGGAGTGAGGAGCGGCGCGCTGCCGCCCCTTGACACAGGGAAGACAGGGAGGAGCAGGCGAGGGTGGGAGGGGAGGGAGAACCCTGGGAAGATCAGAGACAAGGACATGGCGGTGCATGCTGCGAAGGCGCTCCACCAAGGGGTGACCAAGGCGGTGGTGCCAAAGGAGGGTCTGGTGCGACAAGGCGCGACACGAGCAGGGGGCCGACAACTGACCTGACGCAGACACAGACGCAGCTACCTGAGGGGACTCAGTGACCAGTGTGTACAGGCCCGACCCCAGCTACCGAGTGAAGGTAGTCAGGTGACGACCCGTCTGAGCACACGTGCAGTGTGTCACACGCTTGTAGGCAGAGGTGAACTGGTGAACACCCGCATCCTGGAGCGCAGAACCCGCCACCAAGTTCGTAGAGAACGAGGGGAGGTAAAGACACGACAGTGTGCCGGACGGGACAGCAGGACAAGGGAGGACAGTGGAGGAGGTCGCACGGACTGGACCCCCAGAGGGGTCTGCCAGGGAGACCGGAACCGGCCAACTGAGCGGCGTGAGGGTGGTGTTGTCGCGAAAGAAGGAGCGAGAAGCACCAAAGTCAAGTGTGAAGGTGTACAAGGCCGCAGCAGGCGCAGTACCAGAGAGAGCAGACTCACCAGCACCTGGAGCAGCAGTCTCACCCGTACCTAGAGCAGGAGACACACTAGCCCCTAGAGCAGTAGCCTCACCAGCACCTAGAGCAGCAGGCTCTATACCTGGGTCAGGCGGTACGCACAGGTAACAGTCACGGTCAGCACTAGTAGGCAATGCATACATGGCAGTGAGAATAGCATCATAGTCAAGAGCATGTCAGAATGTTATTATCTAGCCTGTAGTGGGGTGCTCTATAGCGAGTACAGCCTTGTTAGGGTTTGCTATATGTATCCAGCTGCTTGCTAGTGAACCCCCTCCTTTCTTCATTCTAAACTTTCTACTCCTAAACTTGACATGCTATCAGAGCAGGTCGATCCCCTTGGGTCGATCCTGTGGGTGGGCTCACCACCTCACTGCTTCCGCTGCTACTGCTACTCTCTGTGTTGCACGCCCCGTGGCGTGCAACGAATTTTTCATCTTGCCGCACGCTCCGAACAGTTTTCTGCCCGCCGTGCGCCCCGAGGCGCGCGGCGGTTTTCTGCTCGCCGTGCGCCCCGAGGCGCGCAGCGGCTTTTTGCCTCGTCACTCCGCGGGTCACTCCCGGGAGACGCTGCGACGGGCGACGGGGACCCGCGCGTCGCCCTCCCGTCGCCCGTCGCGACCTACGCGACCTTCGTAGGGCCCGCGCGCGGCCCGTACAGCCTGCGTGCGGCCCGTACGGGCTGCACCAGACCCGCGCGCGGCCCGTACGGGCTGCGCCAGGCCAGGGCGCGCCTCAGGCCGCCCGCGCGCGGCTCGTACGGGCTGCGCCAGGCCCGTGGGCGCCCTGTTTCCTCTTCACCTGAGCTGCCCGCTGTCCCCCCCTGCTTCTGACGACGCCCCACCCCTGCTGCTGCCCGTTCTCCTGAATTAGGATTTGGGGTGGGGGGTATGGGGGTGCAGCTTCTGTGTGCCGTCCCCTGCTCCTCCTCCTCCTCCGTCTCCCGCTGCTGCAGCTGCCGCTCAGGGGGGTGTGTGTGTGGGGAGCCGAAGGAGTGGTGCTAGGGGGATGAAGGGGGAGTGGAGCTAGGGGTGAAGCAGGGGGTGTGTGTCAAGGGGGGTGGGGCTGTTTGGGGAGGCTGAGAGGATACTGCCGTCGTGTCGCCAGCAGCACCAGTAGTTTGGGGCGCTGCTCCGGTAGCCCAGTCGCAGCCAGCTGTGCCAGTCGCCCGTGGGTCCGTTGCTCGTCTGCCGCTAGTTTTAGCCGCGGAGCCAGTTACTCTAGTAGTCCGGAGCGTTGTTCCGGTAGCCGCCGTGTCAGTGTGACTCCTATTGCCCGTGTGTCTGGAGCTTCAGCCGTCGCCTCCTATCTCCTCTCCTCTTACAGTCTCGCCTCCTCCTCCTCACTTGCCCTTTGTGATAGCCTCTAGCTTTGCTTATTTTGTGCACCTGCTCTATGACTGTGTGCTCTGCTGATTACACCCCACTTTGGCTATGGGGGTGTGTCAGAATGTTATTATCTAGCCTGTAGTGGGGTGCTCTATAGCGAGTACAACCCTGTTAGGGTTTATTATATATATCCAACTGCTTGCTAGTGAACCCCCTCCTTTCTTCATTCTAAACTTTCTACTCCTAAACTTGACAGAGCAAATATATCTACCCTCTGCCGTAGCAGCTCCACCCAGTCGGGGAGCTCAGCCTCGTCACCAAACTCGGTACGCCAGGCGTCGCTCAGGCGGGCGAAGCAGCGGGACTGTGTGTGACTAAGAGTCCCGCAAGCCTGACCAGTCCGAGCACCAGTGGGAATGACGTACGGGCAGCGAACGGTACGCAGAGGCCCTCTACTCTGAGTGTACCACTCACGAAGCTGCTGGGGCGAGAAAGACTCGCGCGGACGTCGCTGGAGCTGCATCTGGCCACCGCCAGTAGCAGCAGTAGCAGCAGTAGCAGCAGTAACAGCAGTAGTAGCGCGGCCACCCCGACAACCCCAACAAGCGTACCACTCACGAAGTTGCTGGGGCGTGAGGGACTCACACGGACGCCGCTAGAGCTGCATCTGGCCACCGCCAGTAGCAGCAGTAGCAGTAGTAGTAGCAATAGCAGTGGTAGCAGCAGCAGCGCGTCCAGGGCAGGCGCTCAGGCAGGCAGGAGAGCAGGCAGGCAGGCAGGCGGCAGCGCTCGAACAAGGCAGGTGCTCACCAGTGGCAGGTAGGGCCGGCGCTCGGCGGGGCCGCAACAGCAGCTGCAGAGTAGGGCCGTGGCAGCTGTAGGGCAGGGTCGCACCAGCAACAGATTGGGGCGGCGTCAGCGTCCAAGCGGGGGCAGCCGCGGCAGTTGCAGGGCTGGTTCGCGTCAGCAGCAGGTCGGGGCCGCGGCAACTGCAGGGCTGGCGGGGCCGCGTCGGCGTCTGGGCGGGGCCGCGTCAGCAGCAGGGCGCGGCCGCGTCAGCTGCAGGGCTGGCGGGGCCGCGTCAGCAGCAAGGCGCGGCCATGTTAGCTGCAGGGCTGGCGGGGCCGCGTCAGCAGCAGGGCGCGGCCGCGTCACGTCTGGACGGGGTCGCGTCAGCAGGAGGGCGCGGCCGCGTCAGCTGCAGGGCTGGCGGGGCCGCGTCGGCGTCTGGGCAAGGCCGCGTCAGCGACTTGGCGGGGACGCGCTCTGGCCTGACGAGCCTGCAGAGGCTGCGCGCGGGCGGCGAGGGCCTGCAGGGGCGGCGCGCGGTCGGGCAAAGGCTGCGCGCGGGCGGCAAGGGCCTGCAGGGGCAGCGCGCCGGCCTGACGGACCTGCAGGGGCGGCTCGCGGGCCTGAGTGACCTGCAGGTGGCGGCTCGGGGGGCTGACGGGCCTGCAGGAGCGGCTCGGGGGCCTGACAAGCCTGCAGAGGCGGCTCGGGGGCCTGACGGGCCTGCAGGGGCGGCTCGTGAGCCTTACGAGCCTGGAGGGGCGGCGCACTGACCTAGGGCAGCAGGAGGCAGCGCGAGGGCTGAAGGACGGCGCGCGCAGCGCAGCACGTCACGAGGCAAGGCAGGCAGACACAGGACAACACGTGGGGTAGCGCGGTAACCACAACGGTAGGTGGGCCCGAAAGAAAAACAGTCCTACGGACCTAGTGCTCTGATACCATGTTATTATCTAGCAACAGGAATGATTCTATTGAGCAGCATGAGGAGTACAAGTAGGAAACCCTAAAGTGTTGTACCCCATATGAGCTACTCCACTACAGCCTACACATACTATAGCATACGAGTTTGACAGGCCCGCCTCGCGCGCCACCTCGAGCAGGAGAATCCCGCGTGGGTGCGCGGTGTGAATGCGCTTCAGAAGCAGTGGCGCAATCTCGTCAATATGTACAAGCAGATCAAGAAGGGGGAAAAGGCGAGCGGCAAGGGTGCCGTGTGCAAGCCCCACTGGTACCCGTACATGGCGCTCTTCCAGAACAACAAGGCGGTGGGCAACCCTCACACCGTCGACGGTGGCGGTGCGGCACACGTCAACGTGCCCTGCGGGTTCGGGGTCCCGTCCACCTCGGCGCCCTGCACCTCTACGCTGACATTCACTAGTACGTTTGTATTGCATCAACGGTAGTACTCGCGGGTTTGTTGATTGACACATCGTGCAACGTCCTTTCACGCATATGTTACTTTACAAGAATGTTTTAATACACAACGCATCGTCTAATGCTCGCGTGCATCCACCGTGTGTGCAGCTCCGCCGTCGCAGGGTACTCCTACATCGAAGCGCCCACGTGTGGTAGAGACGGCTACGATGGCCGCTGCCAAGCTGGTGTGTGAGACGATCAAAGACTGCCACTCCGACGCCATCAGCGGGCTTGAAGGCCTCGTCCGCGCGCGGATGGAGCAGGACGCGCGTATTGCTTGCGAACGCGTGCAGCAGCCCGCCCCCTCCCCGCCGGTCCGCGACGACATCCCTGTCCACGCGGACAACATGACCGACACGCACGCCGCCGAAGGCGGCGACGACGGCTGGCTCCGTCGCGGGCAGGCGGGCGAAGACCCCTCTAACCCTGATGCGGGTGAGGAGGTGTGGGTTCGCGGCGCCGCCGAGTGAGGTAAGACGACTCCAGAGCCTCGCCCATCAGCTTGCGCCTTTCTCGCAGATTCTCTTGCGTGCACGGGTCACATGGCTCCCACTTGAACTCTGCTACCGCGCCACGCGTCCACCATGGGTCCCGGTTTCGGGGCAAGTTTGCCCACGATGCATTGACGCGCCTCACTGCGCCCATCGTTTTGCACATGTTGTGCAGGATGATGCCACAAGACGCCCCTGCAAGAATGCGCCAGAGCTTGCACTCGTTGCGGCCCGCGAATAGACGCCTTTGAAGGCGCCGATGCAGCGCTCTACTGCCATGCGCGTTGCGCTTAGGCAAGAGTTAAAGCACTGCTCCCAGTCCTCCATTAGGCCTTCACGGGGAGCATGTAGGGGGGTCAAGCAGAAGTCCCTGAGTGGGTAGGCAGCATCTCCCACTATTTGGTATGGCGCTATGTCGCCGTTGTGCAACCGTTCGTGTAACACGCTGTTCATGAACACTCTCTGATCGTGCGCACTGCCCGGGTATCCGATCAAATAGTCCCATATCATGCCTCGCGCGTCGCATGTGAGCTACAACTGGACGGCGTAACATGACTTCCGCATGTAATACTCTTGCCTGTGCCCCTCCATCCCCTTCATGGGTATGTGTGTGCCGTCTATAGCCCCCACTACCGCAGGTACCCCCTTGATGGCGCGGAACTCCTCGGCCATCTCGTCGAGGTCGTCACGGGTCGGGAAGTGGACCCACTGCTGCTTGAAGGCGGACGGGAAATGCATGAGGAGCGCGTCAACAAGCATGTGGCACAGGGTCTTGGACAGCCCGAACACGGAGGACAAGTCTACGAACGACATGCCGCTTGCCAGGTATTTGATTGGGACAACGCATGCCACCTCGTGACTGATGAGGTACCTGTCCACGTACGGCTGCATATAGTGCGTCATCCCGGCAACAATGTACTCGAGTATACTTCGGTTTATGCCAAACAAGTCTCTGAATTGATCCTCCCCCATGCCTTACAGGTCCTCCAGCAGCATGTGGTATCTCCGCCGGCGTAGCCCAGCCCTTCTTTTCCGCTCGGCGTTACGGTTGGAGACACGAGAGATGGATGATGAGGACACCTCGTCATTGAAGACGTTTGCCTCCAGCAAGCCACCGACCGACTTGGCGATGGCGTCCATGAAAATGATGTAGTATAACGTAACACATGCGACAAGCAGTTGAGAAAAGTAGAACGAGAATGAATGACTAAGGAATGGAAGTGATACAAATATGCAACCCTAGAAATCTGTACCCCATATGGGCTACCCCACTATAGCCTACACAATATTATAATTTGACACACCCCCATAGGCAAAGTGGGGGAGAACAAGGGGTCACAAGACCAGTCCAGCAAAGCAGACAAAGCTCAGAGTGGATCACAACGTTACCACACAGTCCGAGCACAAGGTCAAGGCCACAAGGCCAGTTCACATGCAGGAGTACACATATATATATAAGGCTAAACAAGCAAGAGCAGGTATATCTATATATGTAAGAGTACAAGCAAGGTCAAGGGGTAAGCAAGTGAGGCAAGACAGGCACAAGACCCAGCTGAGTGCAGAAGCGCTGATGATCACAAGGCGGAAGTGCCTTGGTGAAAAAATCAGCAGTGTTGGCCTCAGAGGCCACGTACGCAAGTCGCAACTGACCACGCTGCTGCAACTCACGAGCAAGAAAGTAGCAATGTGCTTCGTTCTGTGCTCCAGGCGCTGCTCCCGACACAAGGCTAGCATGACCTTGTTGTCTACGTACAGCACCGGAGGAGAACGAGGCGGCTCTCCAAGGTCAGTCAGCAGGTAGGTAAGCTAGCGAAGCTCCTGTGCAGCCATGGCCCCGGCGTAGATCTCAGCCTCACAACTAGAGCCGAGAACAGAAGATGAGGGAGTAGCCCGCCACGAAACAGAGCCGGAACCAAGGCTGAAGGTGTAACCCTGTGACGACCGCTGCGTAGCCTGGTCGTCAGCCCAAGAAGCGTCCGCGTGCCCAGTGAGGACCACTGGACTCCGCCCTCCAAGCACTAGCCCCATGCCCGACGTACTGCACAAGTAGCGCAACACCCTCTTCGCTGCAGCCATGTGATCTGGTCTGTGTCTCCCAAGAGCAACATAGCGTGCAAGAATGCTAAGAGGGTATGCAAGGTCAGGTCGTGTGCAGGTCATCAGGTACATGAGGCAGCCAACAAGCTCTGGGTACGGGACACTCGACTCTACAGACTCATCCGAAGGCAAAGCTGAGAGCGAGTGGCGAGTAGACAGAGGAGTGGCCTGAGGCGAGGAGTACGTAAAGCCGAAGCGCTGAAGGACCTGCTGCACCATGTGTGACTGAGTCAAGTTAATGGTGCGGCGTGCTCTGCCCCGGGTGATCTGCAAGCCAAGGTAGCTGCGCAGTTCACCCAGGTCTGTGCACGTGTGTCTCTTCTGCAGCTCGGACTTCACGTGGGCGAGTCGAGCAGTGTCAGCTGTGGCAAAGACCAAGTCGTCGACGTACACAAGGATGTAGAACGGCGGTAGAGAGGTGTCGGTGCGCAGAAACAGCGACGGGTCAGCAGTAGAGGAAGCAAACCCAAGAGCCGCAAGTGTAGTCCTCAGTGTGTCGTGCCACTCGCGCGGTGCCTGGCGGAGACCGTAGACTGGCCGTCGGAGGCTCCACTGGGTGCCACGAGGGAAAGTCCCAGTGAAGCCAGGTGGACAGCGCAACCAGATCTCCTCGTGCAGGCTACCCTGCAGGAAAGTTGTGCTGAAGTCAAGAGAGTGAAGCTCGTAGTCGCGCTGAGCGGCTACGTGTAGCAGCACCCAAAGAGTGGTCATCTTCGGGGTGGGAGAGAAGGTCTGAAAGTAGTCAACTCCATGCCGCTGACTGAAGCCACGAGCCACGTACCGCGCCTTGAAGACAGGTGGAGAGCCCGGCGGCCGCTTCACCCTGAAGATCCACATGCCACTGACGATGTTCGCCACAGGAGGGGGAACCGCGTCAACGTAGGTGCGTGTGGACTTCGAGGAAGCCATCTCTGCATCCATAGCTGCCTGCCACTGAGAGGAGTAGGGACCCTCTACGGCCTCCGCGTAAGAGCGCGGAGTCGGGATGTCTAGTGCATACGGGTCTCCCTCAGGGGTAAGCAGTACGGACGCGAGATGAGGTGAAGCAGCAGCCAGACATTGGAACCCCTCTTGCCTGTCCTCAAGGAGGTCCGTGCCAAGAGCACACTCACCCCCGACGGACGGAGGACAGACAGACGCAGACTCAGCAACAAGACTAGCAGCGTAGTCTAGACGACAGCGAGCAGCAAAGTCGACGAGCTCAGCAACAAGAGCAGACGCAGCAGTGGACTCAAAGGAGGGGTCAATGACGACAGTAGCAAGGAGACGCGTGACAGTAGGACTGGCAGCACGAAGAGAGTCCGACTTAGGGTCGGCAAGCGCAGGAAGAGAGGACTCAGGAGGAGAGGGCAAAGGGGCACGCAGAGGAGCAGTGGACGGACGCAGAGACATCCGGTGCGTGCCAGGGACAGGAGGAGGACGCTGACGCGAACTACGACCACTAGTGCGAGCAGCACGAACAGGCGACGCAGGACGAGACGCAGGCTCACGACGCTCAGCAAGGCCTCCAGTAGGACCAGTGTGCGGAGAAGGAGAAGGCAGTGGGGAGGCCGGCGGTAACTGTGACTGCGACTGGATAGGCGGTGGACACTCTAAGGGAGGAGGAAGACCAAGAACCTGCTAAAGGAGCGGAACAAAGTACGGCCGAGGCCGCGCGGAGACTCCAGACACAGCAGGGACAGCACCAGCACCCCCAGCGGCAGCACCAGCGTCAACAGCACCTCTAGCTCCAGCACCTCCAGCAGCACCAGCAGCACCCGCAGCAGGACCGCCGCCAGGACTGACAGCAGTAGCCTCAGCGCCAACACCCTCAGCAGCTCCGACTCCAGTCGCACTCGCAGGACTAGCACCTCCGAGACCGGCGGAACCAGCACCCTCAGCAGCCGAAGAAGCACCAGCTCCAGTAGTACGCCTCCAACGCCGGGCAAACCACTCGCGCAGCTCCTGTGGAGAGAGTGGCTCCCGCCGAGACGAAGCACCCGGAGAACCAGCAGGCCCAGCACCACCAGACGCCACACGAGCAGGTCCAGCGGCCGCGGGCTCCGCACCCCGAGGCTCAGGAGCTCCAGACTCAGCACCCCCAGGCTCAGCAGCTCCAGACGCAGCACCCCCAGGCGAAGGACCCCCAGGCTCAGCACCCCCAGTCGTAGCACCCCCAGGCTTAGCACCCCCAGTCGTAGCACCCTCAGGCTCAGCACCCCCAGGCTCAGCACCCCCAGTCGCAGCACCCCCAGAGTCAGCACCCCTAGGCTCAGCACCCGCAGCAGTATCAGAGTCACCAGCAACCTCGACCGGCTCGACTGCATCTACCTGGGACACACCTTAAGGGGCAGGACCCTGAGGGGGGAGGGGGTCTACCGGGGGGGGACCTGGCACAAGGAAGTGCGGTGGCGGGGGGAGGGAAGGAGTGCGGTAGGGGAAGAGGCGTTAGTAGGGTACTGACTCGTCGAACGTGACGTCCTCGGAGGACAGAACACAACGAGAGGTGGGATGGTAGAACTGCCACCCAGGGGCGTCAGGGGGGAAGCCAAGGAAGACACAGGGAGCAGCACGAGGGGACAGCTTGTCCGCAGACAAGTCGCGGACAAACGCCCGAGATCCCTAGACACGGTACGCAGACGCATCGCCGACCTTCCCCGTCCACAGCAAGGCTAGGGAGGTCTCCGGCCTGGAGACTTTGGGGTGAAGGTTGATCTGATGCGCCGCGTACCGAACCGCAAACGGCCACAGAAAATGGGGGGCAGCCGCATGCATCATGGACGTACGAGCTACGTCCATGACCATGCCAATGCGGCGCTCAGCAATCCCATTTTGCTGTGGAGAGTCCGGAAGCGTAAAGGTCTGGCGGATGCCTCGCGCACGACAGTAGGCTCGCAGAATGC